ACAATAGGTGTTAATTAGGTGTCAACGATAGCCATGTGATGTGAGTATCAGTCACATGGAGGCAGTGCTTAAAAGCCTGAATTTTGTCTGAAACTGTCAGACTGAAGAAGTCTCTTGGAGAAGAGACGAAACGTTTCATTAGAGAAGAACCCGTCCAGAGGACCTATACAATTTTTTTTCTTTTTGATKTCCAGAAGTATAAAAGTTACTAATACCTGCAGTCACAGGTTCCCAAATGAGCTGAATATTTCGATACATGAATAGTAGGGATGCACCGATATGAAAATTTCAGCCGATATCCAATAGAATTATTGCTATTATGGCCGATAACCAATATATACTGATATTACACAAACACACAAATTATATTATACACAAACGCACAAACACACACTTGTCTTTTCTCGATACCGTAAATAAACAACCAGACCTGTGACATGGCTCTCTGCTTCAGTTATTCCTGGCTGCACAGCATCAATATCACTGTCATGATCAAACAGATGCCACTCAACCACCCTTCTCCCCTACACAACACTACAAAAGAGACTATAAACCAAAAAGCAAATGTGTAAATGTTGAGGATTAATTCAGTAAAATGCAACATTTAGGGTTGTTTTGTAACAGCATATTACTTGGTAATGACTTTATAAAATACACGTGCACAAATGGCAGAAAATCTTKGGCTCTTTGTTTATTTCTCAGCTTTGTGACTTGAGTGTGATGGTAATAAATGAGAGTAACTGGATCTCATCCAGCGTAGCCGCTGTGAGTTGTGGCTGGTAGTTGAATCGCTGTGTGAGCCTTCGAACACTGACTGACTTCTCTGTCGCCTCAGCTGATGGCTGTTCTGTGCAGAGTAGCTGTGGTGTGGTAGTGAGTGTTGTTGCTGTTCGTGGACTGACACGTCATCTGTTTTGTCTGCCTGTACTTGCTGTGTCCTGCAGGATCATGCTGATCTGTGCCAAGCGGTCACTATATGCTGCTTTCTCAGTGCTGCCCTATGGAGAGAGTGCTCACCTCAGGTACAAAACCAAAGCACCACCCCAAGCAGTTAGCACCCGCCTCCTCATTGTTACGTTTTCATCACCCCCACACACACCCTGTGTGATCCACGCTGTTGTCAGAAACAAGCTGTGCGTTTGAAGCAGCTGCTGGAAGTGACGTGTTGTCTTTTTGTGAACAGTGACCCGAAGCTGGACACTCAGAGACAAAGGCTGTCCTCTGTGGTGGCTCCTGATCTGCTTCCTGCACTGGAAGGTGTGGAGCTGGGTGCCTTTGGGAAGGTTAGTCTTATATTTATAATAAACAGCTTTTTTATTTACAGTTAAATACTCCCATTAACAAGTGTCTCACAGCAAAAATGCCAGTGTTAATTTAACACACACAGTGTTAATTTCAACACCAACAAAGTGTCTGTATGTGTCCACACTCGCTGGTGTAAAAATAACATTTGTGAAAGTTTTAAATTTTAAGACCCATTTTTTTTGTTTATTTAACACCAGCCAGTGTTTAATATTCAACAATATTGGGTGTCACATTAACATTTCAACAGTGTTGAAATATAGTGTTAAAATGAACACTAGTGCAGGGGTCTGCAACCTGCGGCTCTGGGGCCACATGTGGCTCTTTGAAAATGTGGCAAAATATAACAGAATAATTTTTTTGTTTGTTTTTATACTCACAACAGAAATAAACTGTATGCAAATATTTGGTGAATACTACAAATACAAAAAGTAAAAGCTGCTAGCCTGTTGTCTACCTAAATAATCCAACTTCTTTCCACGATCTTTCTCTCAAATCAATCAGGGTTATCTTTAAACACCTTTAAGACTACATAATAAGAATTAGAAAATAAAATGTCTGAATAGTTCAGTTGTACTAGTTTTTC